GAGAGAGAGAGAGAGAGAGAGAGAGAGAGAGAGAGAGAAAAAGAAAACAGCAGTCAATAAAGAGGTCGGCGTGGTCTGTCGGGGCATTGCTCAGGCAGATAAAAGCGGCTAATGTGGCGAAATTCTTCTACCGGTCGCGGCGTGTCCGCGTATGCGTGTCACTGTGCGCACAGCTATGTTACTTAGCACACAGCGGGCGCACGTGTGCGTGTCACTTGTAACACTAATCTTCTACTTAGTAACGGTTTAGAAAACACTAGACCTGGTCTATTGTGCCTATTAGTCGGCTGTCACGTCTATAGCACCATTTTGTTAGTGTTATTCATACGAGAACCATAGCGTGTTAGTGTATAAACTGGAACGCGGATGAATTACGGCAACAATATGTAGAAACGTGAGAACGGAGCCGCAATCCCCAAGGGAGGCAATATGGGAGGGGCGTCTGCCCCACTTAAATTTACCATTTTATATTTTAGAGAAAAATAAGTAAATTGTAGATTTTAGAGAAAGATATAATAATGCATAATAATTGTAAATAACCGCAGCAATGAGTGATAAAACGTGTGTAAAACGCATGAATGTAATTAATAAATAATAGAAAAGAATGATATTCCTTCAAGCTAATTTTATATACATGCGGCTGTTTTCTTAAAACCGCAGAAGCTACATGTTTAGAACCAACCCTCATAACTCTGTTAGGTCTCGAAATTTTGCCCCACCCTAACTAGAGTTTGCCTAGGCTCTGGTGTTAACAAAAGTCCGTAACGAGAGAAGGGTAATAGGATTAGTCTTAAGGGTTATGGTAAGAAATTAGGGTAGGGATAGAGCTAGGGTCGGGATTAGGGTTATGGCTCGGGTTACGGCTAGGATTAGGATTAGAGTTAGCAGTAAGATTAGGGATAGGGCTAGGGTTAGGGTTAGGGGTAGGGCTAATGTTAGGGCTATGGTTAGGGCTATGGCTAGGGTCAGAGTCAGGGCTAGGGCTAGGGTTAAGGCTAGGGCTGGGGCTAGGGCTAGGGCTAGGAATAGAGTTTGGATAAGGCAAAGATATAAGATATGAGATAAGCCTATGTACGCAAATCAACGTAAACGTCGACATCGTTCTTACTTCGGCACTGCGGGATAGTTGTAGTCCGGCCGCTCGTAGTTGACGACTGGCGACACCGCACCGCTTATCCACTCGTCGATCAATCCGCACTCAAAGTAGGGCGGAGTGAAGCTGCTAGGTTTCGTCTCCGGCGGCCCGTACACCTGCATGTGGTCCTTCGGATGAAACAGCTTTTCGATGATGATCTGGTAGGGCAGCGGCGGCTGCATCGCGCGCGGCAACCACTTGCTGTACCAGGGTTTCGCCCACGAGTACCGGTCACCGTCCGTGTAGGCGCTGCCGGCGCCACTCCCGGCAACCGCGTCGTCTTCGACGACGATGAGATGTTCGCCGGCACGCGGCGCGCGCGCGTACGGAAGGTAGTCCGTCACGTGAGGGCGCTGCGCTGAGGCGCTCTTGTACCAGTTCGGAAAGAAGCTCTTGCGGTCGAAGACGACGCTGCTTCCGCTGATGACGTCACCGTAAGCGGCGACGTCGGCGACGGCCGAGTAGTAGTAGTAGAGGAAGCCGGGTTCGTCTGCGGTCGCGTTCATGTGTTGCAGGATGAAGCTGAAGAAGAAGGCACGGTTGTGCGCCAGCGTGGACGCCTCGCTGAGCGCGAGCTGCGGCGACTGCCCGGATGATCCGGGGACTCCCGTGACGAAGTTCTCCTCCAGTAGGAGGCGCTGCTCGTCGCCGGCGAGCACGGCGCGACAACTGTCGGCCGACACGCTCTGCAGCTTCGTTACGGCATCGTCGAACGCGTCACCGTTGGCACGGCCCGTCGTCGCAATCACAACGACCAGCAGCAGCACGAACGCTCGCAGCGCCATATCGTCTCCTTGATGGATGCGCAATCGGATAATGGGTTCTGTCGGCTGATGTTGCCTCCCTATGAGTTTAACCCCGTTCTCTGCTGCTACCGCCTTGCTATTGTAACACCTTCTCTGCTGCTACCGCCCCACGCGTGTAACAACCTTCTCTGCTGCTACCGCCCCACTACGAATGTAACACCCGCCTCTGCTGCTCCGCTGTTGTCGCTGGGGGGCGTGGACGTCGCGTGCGATCACCGCAGACGATATTCCTCCGTAACGATTCCTCCGTAACGACAACGATGCGATCGGTGGGTCGTCTCCCGGAGCCTTTCTGCCGCGAGACAGGCTACGGAGAGAAGGCGGGCCCTGGCGGATTCTGAAAGAAAGGCAACGAGTCGTCGCAGATTAAAAGAGTTTCTAAACAAATCGCAAAAAACAACGTTTTCGCCACTCTCCGTGACTGATTGTGACACCAGTGACACACAAAGGCGGGAATTGTGTGTCCACGATTGCGTGCGATAGTCGTGCTACGATGCGGAGTCACGCGGGTTTGACCTAGCTGGCACAGATATGCTAGCTGACAGGCCGGAGACAGATAGCTTTCGCACCCGGTTCATTCAGCTCCCTCTCCTTCTCTCTCTCTCAGTGCGCGCGTGCGTGCAATATATCATTGCGGTCAAGCTGACCGCGATACCGTTAGACAAGAATAGCAACGATGATATTTTTTTATTTCATCTCTAATGCGAAATCCAACTGGCAGCAAATGCAATTTACTCTCGACATAATACTCTATCTCAGCATCGCGCCCTTGACCGGAATGCCTTTAAATGCAGTTTGCGTGCATCGCTAGCTCGCGAGAGAATAGCACTCTAGTTTAAATCGTGTTATTTGCGATATCTTGCGGTATGATATCACCGTTTCGCACCCACTTCGTACGGGGATGAAATTACATCCTAATCGCCGTAGCGATGCTGATCGTTATCGCAATCGATAAAGTATGTCACCTGTAGGTAACGATAGGATAATTACGTGAAATTTACGCATCGCCCCCCGAAATAAACGCCGGCAGACGAACAAAGCAGCGAGTGAAATTTTGCGTGTTTCTCACGAGAGACAGAGACCTTGAGAGGAAACAAGACGATGTGTACGTGTGTTGCTTCAAGTGAGTGCATTTACTTGCTCGATCACTTACATTATATTATCCCGTTCATCATCACTATTCTTGGATTTTGTCCTTCATTCACTCGTTCACTCGTTTCGCTTGTTCTATTTGTTTGTTTGTTTGTTTGTTTGTTTGTTCGGTCTTTCGTTGACGCATTCGTTTTCTTTCGCTTATTTGTTGGCTCGCTCGCGTTTTCGTTTGTTTGTCCGAGCGTTTAATGCTGTTTTTCGTTCGCACATTCATTCAATCATGCGTCAGTTGCTCCATTGTTATACTGACACACGACCCCTACATATACACCACTCTTCCCCAACCTACACTACTTTTCCTCCCCTCACCCCACTCCGCATATCTCCGTACACACCCCTCTCCGCACACGTCCGTCCATACACCGACGTGGGCGAGGGGTGGGAAGGGTGGGGATAGGGTGGGTGGACCTCGTGTACATACCCGTGTCGTAGGCTTACACTACTCCTTCCACCCACCCACCTCCGCCCCCTTTCCGCATCTCTCTGCACATCCGCACACGTCTGTACATCCACCGACGTGGGACGTGGGTGAGGGGTGGGTGAGGGGAGGGTGAGGGGTGGATGAGGGGAGGGGTGGGGGTGGCCCCCTCGTGTACGTACCTGTGTCGTGGGTTTACACTTGTCAGTGCCGGCGAACAGGTTCGTGGAGACGTTGCCCGGACATTGGTTGACATCGATGTTTGGTAGCGGTACGTCGATGTTCACGGCGCCCATGTACCTGTGTACGAAACGACAAACAGCACACCTGTAGGTACACGTACCTGTAGTACTTGTAGGTAACGACAGCGGTTTACACGTACGGCATGAGTCGATGTGTGAGGCCATCATCTACACGTACCTGTACATACATGTATCTATCACTTACCTGTAGCGGACGACAATGACACACCTGTAGCTAAGGTACACGTACGGCATGAGTCAATGTGTGAGGCCATCATCTACACGTACCTGTATATACATGTATCTATCACTTACCTGTAGAGGACGACAACGACACACCTGTAGGTAAGGTACACGTACGGCATGAGTCGACGCGTGAGGCCATCATCTACACGTACCTGTATATACATGTATCTATCACTTACCTGTAGAGGACGACAACGACACACCTGTAGGTGAGGTACACGTACGGCATGAGTCGATGTGTGAGGCCATCATCTACACGTACCTGTATATACATGTATCTATCACTTACCTGTAGAGGACGACAACGGCACACCTGTAGGTAAGGTACACGTACGGCATGAGTCGATGTGTGAGGCCATCATCTACACGTACCTGTACATGTATCTATCACTTACCTGTAGAGGACGACAACGGCACACCTGTAGGTAAGGTACACGTACGGCATGAGTCGATGTGTGAGGCCATCATCTACACGTACCTGTATATACATGTATCTATCACTTACCTGTAGAGACAGACAACGAACAAGCCACCGCTGTAGGTAAGGTACACGTAGCGGCATGAGTCGACAGCAGTGAGAGCCATGCATCCTAACACGTACCTGTATATACATGTATCTATCAACTTACCTGTAGAGGACGACAACGGCAAGTGGCACGCTGTAGGTAAAGGTAACACGTACGGCATGAGACGACGCGTTGAAGGGGACCAATCATACTACAGCGCGACGTAACTGCGCTGGCCACGCTCGAATGTAGTATGCACACAGACACACGCCCGCGCGCACACACA